GGCCATCCGAGAGCTCTCCCTTGAGCCCGGATGGACTGGGAGAGGATGGCAACATGCCACCACGCCGGCAAAGCCAATCCGATCATCGCCACCGCCTCGGGCCACAGCCACAAGGATCACCGAGCGTTTTCGAGCGGGAACAACTGAAGAACCCGGCAGACCGACCACGCCAAAGTCGCGACCACCACCCCCCGTCCCAAGGTAGCGTCTTTAGGAAGAAAGCGACGCCAAGCGCCGCTATCGCCTAATCCGAGGGGATTTGGGTTTTCACCCAGGACAAGGAGAGGGGGGCATGGGTTGTAACAAATTCCTGAATATTCTACCAAGGTCTATACTAACTCTAAGAAGTAGAACGACGATGGAGCGCCGCCGGCATCGTGGTTGCCGCAGCCCGCTAAGGGACCAACCGCCAAACCAGCCACATGAGGTCGCCGGCAGCCTGGTCGGCTTGGGCGGCCAGGAAACGTGGAGAACGTCGTGTTCAAATCGAGATCTGTGCTCACTGCTGACTCGCCGCCCACACGGCCAAGTCCAGCGCCCGTAACCATCGGCACCAGGTCCCCCCATCGTAAGGGAGGGGCACCCTCGCCGGAGGAGGCCGTCGCCACAACACCTGTGACACTAGAACTGGAGGCCCCGCCACCACGCCACTTGCCCCGCCAGCCCCGGCCATGACAGGGAAGGCCGCACGCAGCCCCCCCACCCGCAGGGCCGCCGATGCCAAATTTGGCCTGATCCAACGGGTGCGGCACCACCACTGACCCGCAGCCGCCGCGCCGCAAGAGCATGCCTGAGGTGTCACACCGCCAGCCACACGCGCCGCCACCCAGAGCAGTTACCGCTGCACAGCTGCGCCCCGCGCCAGCGCAGCGCCTTAGCGTGCCTGAGATAACCCGCACCAGACGGGGGAGGGCGAGGGGACGGGGAACAAGGCCTCGCCGCCGCCGAGGCCAGCCGGACTTCACCCACAGGCCCTTGCCAGTGGCGGCGAGGGAAGGAGGAGGAAGGGCGCGGAGTGCCGGCGGCTAGGGT